ATCGAGTTCCAACAAAATAAATAATTATTATCTTTATAAAACAATTATATTTTTAAACCAAATATAAATTACTTCGTTATTGTACATAAAAATTTATAAAAAAATTGAATTAAAAAATTACACAAAAAATGAGGAATTTCAAATAGTTAATTTGATACTAATATCGATATATTTTTGTCAATTTTTTATCGATATCTTCAAATATATATTTTATTAAAAAATAAAAACATCATCGATTTCTCAAAATCACATAAAGTCATATTATAACATCGACTTAGATAAAGAATAAAATGAAATATTAAAATCACGATGTATCTCGCTGCATTGTGCGAGTACGCTTCTAGTTATATTATAAAGCATCTGACAAAAGCTCTTAAAAACCATTTTTTGTGCACGAGGCACTGTTTATTGATGCATATTTCTTAGAATTCAAGATTATAGGTAAATTGTATGTAAGTACAACTTATTAAAACTCTATTTTAAATTCGTGTAACTAACTGCATATAAATATAATAAAATACAGGATAATCATCTTATTTTAAATATAAAAAATCTAAAATATAATTAGGATAATCATTGAGTTCTAACAGAATACTTAATTATTATCGTTATTAAAAATTATATTATTAAACCAAAATTAAGCTACTTCGTCACGTTAAATTAATTTATAATAAAAAATACACAAAACAAGAAATTTTAAATAGTTAATTTGACACAAATATCGATATATTCTTTTTCAAATTTTTATGATATTTTATTTAAAAATTAAACACATTATCGTTTTCTCAAAAACACATAAAACCGTATTATATCGACATAGATAAAGAATAAAATGAAACATTAGAATCGAGATGTGTCTCGATGCATTGCACGAGTACTCTTCTAGTATTATATTAAAGTATTTGACAAAAACTCTTAAAAACTATTTTTTATGCATGAAGTACTGTTTAGTGATGCATATTACTTAAAATTCAAGATTACAGGTAAATTGTGCGTAAGTACAACTTATTAAAACTTCATGTATGAATTCGTGTAACTCACTGCAGATAAACATAATTGAATAGATGATAAATATCTTATTTTAAATATAAAAAATCTAAAATATAATTAGAATAATCATTGGCTTCTAACAAAATACTTGATCATTATTTTTATTAAAAGTTATATTATTAAACCAAAAATTAAAAAAATGAATTAAAGAAATACACAAAATAATGAGAAATTTTAAGTAGTTAGTTTGATACTAATATCAATAATTTTTTTTCAAATTTTTATGATTTCTTCATATTTATACTTTATTCAAAAATAAAAATATTATCTTTTTCTCAAAACTCCATAAACCATATTATAACATCGATTAAGACAAAAAAAAACAAAGCATTAAAATCGAAATTTATCTTGCTATTGTTTGAGTACCTTTCTAGTTATATTATAAAACATTTAAGACAAACTTTTAAAAACCACTTTTAATGCATCAAATACTATGTATTGATGCATATTACTTAAAATTTAAGATTACATGATAAACATTTCATATTAAATATAAAAAATCTAAAATATAATTAGATTACTCATTAAGTCTAGCATAATACTTAATTATTATCTTTATAAAAGAATTATATTATTAAACAGAAAAGATTACTTCGTTACTAAATCTAAATTAAATTATAACTAGTTGTGTACCCGCGCAATGCGGCGGGAGCCATGAATTTTAACGATTTTGAAGTTCCACTGGTTTTATAAGATAAGATTTAACGATGATATAGGTTACACTTGGTCTTTACATATTAATACAATTTGAATAAATAAGAGTTATGGTTCCAATTACAGACTATCGATGAAAAAAATTGTATGACAGTTTAAAATCCAATATATTTAAAATCCAACATATTTAAACGACTCCACAAATGTATTCGATTTACACCAAGAGCAAAGAACCAAGAAACTTGAGTTTTAAGATAAACAYTCAAAACCAATAAAGAAAAYTACAAATTTGACAGATCATAAGTCATGAAAAAACAAAAAAAAATGAGTTTTAGAACGAAATTTCAACTGCTTACCTTCTTTCTTATCCAGAAACTTAGATTAAGGTTGAATTAATACATGTATATATATATTTCAAAAAAACCCAAGAACATATTTATTCAAAACATATTATACAATGCAATTTGGACAGCCTAACCTCAAAATATATAGTATATATATAAATAAATAACTATAAAAATATAAATTATAAATATTAAAAATATTTTTTCACAGTATTTATAATATATAATAATATAATTAAGTCAAAAACTATTCAATATTTGACTCATTTCGAAGATATTAACGAGACGATTATAATGGTTAAATTGATAAAGATTTAAAATGAAACATTTAAAAATAAAGGACGTAAAGTAAATTAATTAATTAATTATATGGGTATAAAGTGTAAATTTTAAAATTATAATTTAAAAAAAAATCAATTGTGAAAGGGTGAGTGTATGTGAGGGTGTGAGTGTATATGAGGAGAGGAGGGGGTGAAAAAGTGAGTATAAATGGTATATTGGTCATTTAGTATTTTAAGACTTTAAGACTTTTGCTAAATTTGTTTAATAAAATAGTATAGATATAGATATAGATAAAAACTTGAATGAAACAAATGATACAAAAAACGAGAACTTTTAAATAGTTATTTTGATACTAATATCAATATATTTTTTATGAGATCTTCAAATTTATATTTTATTAAAACATAAAAACATTATTGGTTTTTCCAGAACCATATAAATTCATACTATAACATCGATAAAAATAAAAAATAAGATAAAACATTGAAATCAAAATATATACTATTACATTACACAAGTACCTATATCACCATGTTTTACACAACTATCAGTTAAAAAAATAATTCAAAAAGCTCAGAAAATATCCTCACCAATCCAAATTCTCATAATATTTGAAATTAATTTCGTTTAAAAAAATAAAAAGCTTAGATTTCCATACTCTTTCGTCTGAGCTTTTTGCATAACACTTTCTTAGAAAATAGCAACCCCCTCTGATAATGTTTCTAATATTATCAAAACTTCATCTTTTAAAATAAACACCAACTATTTAATAAAACGAGCACATACCTTAACAACATGAGTCAATGAGATGATGATCAAAATGAAAACTCATCCCCTCATAACAACCATAACTAGCATGTGATTTAAAAGCAGAAGGTCGTTGATAAGGCAGTTTAATTATTTAAACAGTAAGAAAGAAAGGTATGCGTCTAGTACACAGACTGGATGGACGAGATTGAGATAGGCAGAAGAAAAAATCGTGTAAGGTTATAATTTAACATGACTAGTTTAGTAATTTATTAATCTTATCTTATATCCCTGATTTTTGTTCCCTGCCTATTTATGTGCATTTTTGTCCTGTTTAATCATGTTATCCTCGGTCTACATATCACACCAAGAAATGGGACAAGTTCGTCCCCCCCAAATTTCACCTCACAAACCCAATTAAGATGAAACCATTATCACACCATCATCAAGAATCAAGTGGACACTGATCACAAATAGAGGAAGGTTGGATAGCTAATGATAAAAGAGAACACTTTTAACTAACCAGTGAAACCAAGAAAATGAAAAGACATTTTAGGGTCAATTCGATCATGTTAATAGTTTTGATATTTTGACGTCAAAAGTTAATGATGTTGATAAATAGTCGTAAATTGATGCAAAATTGGGGATAATTTTGCCATTTTATCATTTTTTAGTGTTTAATCTCTTTATCATTTTTTTTTAATTTAATTAAAAAATATAGAATCATGAAAAGGCATAACAATAAATATTCAAACTCATATTTTTTCCATCCTTTTAATTTACACTTGACAAAATTGTAATTGTTGATTGTTTTTATATGCATATGAATTTTTGTGAAGTATCTTCTTATAAAAGGATTTTTAATAAGCTTAGAAATTATAACATTACCCTTATAATTGTAGGTACAACAAGATGTAGCACGAGACAAATAAATAGAAATAACAAAAATACGATTGTCAAATAAATACCTAATATGAGATGCTTACATACCTGACGTGCATATCAATTTCAAGGTTCTTGATGTAGATTTTCAATCAACGTAGCGATGTTTTTGGTCAAGAGGGTTAGTGGGGGTCCTTGGCTAAGATGGAATATTCACCTTAGTATGTGCTTAGTTTCGGTTAATCTTGAGGGGCCGTTTGGTTCGCGAATTCAAAGGAATTTGATGAAATTGGAAACAAAGACGGTTATTTCAATCATTTTGAGAAATTTCATTCCAATTCCTACCAACCAATCGCATGATCCAATTTCATCAAATTTCATTACAATTCATTCAAAGCCGAATTCCTTTAATTGATTCCAATTCCAGCAAATTTCATTCTCTGAACCAAACACCCCGTAGATTGTAAACAAAAATAAAAAGTTTAAATAAACCTCTTTGAAGGTTGAAAAAATTTACAAAATTTCCTGTTACTTGTATAATCAAGAAACAATGCATACAAAAGAGTTTGTTTCTTATACCTACTTGCACTTTTATGTATATCATTAAACCAAAGTATTCACAGATGAATCGGTAATAACTCATCACAGGCTCGTTTGATTCTTAATTCGTTTTGGAGTTGTCTCGTATAGAGGAAGAGGCACACCGAACACCCAGTCGAGTACGTTCAAGTACTTGGATCGAAAAACGTCTCTTTCCATGGCGTAGCAATGCATAATAATTGCTGTCGAGATGCTGAATATTAAGACGTCGACTCTTTTTAAGTTGTTGAATTGTGGGATGTATCCGATGTCGGACATGGTTGTGAAGAAGCTTTCTATGGCTCGAGCAAGGCAGTAAAGTGAGATCTCGATTCTCCGGCTCTTCTTCTCGATTGCTAATCCCAACCCAGTTGGGAACTGCATGCATGTTCAACAACACAAGTTAACAAATAGAACCAATACATATTAGTACATAGGGCCAGGTTCAAATTAGAACCGTATATATTTTGAGAACCGGGGAACTAACTATGTCATGAGTAATTGTTGATGAATAACACTAACATATTGATGAATAACATTCATCATGAATATTTATCACGGTATTCATCATGAATAACTCATGAATACTTGGTTCTCCCGTTCTCAAAAATATTTACAATTTTTATTTGAACGTGCCCCTATATATGTATGTGTATATATATAAATAAATCAAATGAACCTGGTAAATCTCAGGTGAAGTGGGGTCTGGGGGTTCATATACACACACACATAGAGGGGCATAATCAAATCAGGACTTCACAAATGTTGAGAAATGTGAGAACCAGTGAAAATGTATGGTGTTATTTCTCATATATTCAGTTACTTTGTAGTGTATGTTGATCAAGAAAACGAGGAAGTGGTATTACCGTTCCCAATGCTAGCATGGTGACGTTACATCTCTTGAAAAGCCTGAAGAGGAAGCAGGTCCAGACCCTGATAAACAATCGCAGCATCAACCACATTAATTGAATATTTCAAAACTAATCCTTAAATTCGGATTAGAAACTGGACGGGATAGTGGCGCCAGCCAAAATATTCCAAGAAAATAGTAAGATATCAATTTTCTATCTGGTCTTTTGAGGTAGAGATCAGGTCTTTGTACATCCACGTGCAAGTAGAATATATTGGGCTCGTTTGGTATTATTCAGTAGCTTGAATAATAACAAAAAATTAAAGGGTTTTCAGTTCTACCCTCTTCCGATTACCATTAAGAAGCATGTGTAAAGAATCTAAAGATTCCAAAGTACCAAATGGACATTATTTCCGTATCAGAACCAGAAATTTCTTTGAGCTAGCAAAGTGTATCAAAAGATCAAAAAGTTACCAAGGTGGTACTTATCATCCTAATTCAGAAGAGGCTGATTTACCACCGGTTAGTAAACTCTATGATTTGAAATAGTCATGCTAAATGCACTTTCTCGAACAAAAATATTTCAATGCCATTACTGGAGTCCTTGATCTATTTTCTTTGTGGTAACTGTGGGTGTCTGGGCAGCTTACGTGCCAACTAATTACCACAACCGTAGAAAATCGAAATATGTCCTCAGCATTTCAATGCTCTATCAAACTAGCTACGTTCTTGGGAATGGCAACCACCATCCAGCCATGAAGTTTACTCTCACTTTAAGAGGTGGGTGAATAGGTAACAGAAAAATGAAGTGTATGTATTAAATGAAACTCACCAGGCGGAAGTACAGTATGTAGAGAGAAACAGACTCGATCTTGCAGTACCTAGAAGACCTTTTGCCAATATTGTGAAGGGCCTGCATCAGGTAAAAAATAATAAGTTTAAAAGAAAACATGTTATTTATCCCGGTATGCACTTATAATATAATCAGCTGAAAGCGTTACAAAGACGATCAGAAGAATACAAACAAGAGCGCAAATACTCATGTTTTTATCTCCAAGTACAATTTTGTAGATATACAAAGTAACAATTAATTAGATATAACTTTAATATGCCAAACAGAAATTAAGGGATTAGAATGCAAAAAGAACGTTAATATGCCAAACAGAAATTAAGGGATTAGAATGCAAATCATCTTACAGCCAAGAAATAATATTAACATTTGGTCCAGATTTGTCTGATTCAAATGATAAAATACTGTGCTGGTTTGTTAAATGAAAGTAAACACATGATCAAAATTTGTAGCAGACACATTGTGAAGCCAAACTGGCACAAGTTGTAGGTTGTCCCACATAATAAAGTTTGCTATAAGAAAGAAAAATATCTCCACAAGGACATGAGGATGAACAAATACATACCGTTTTGCAAGTCCTTGGCGATGTACTATAAGTGCAGGAATCAAATAAACTGGAAGATAAACTGGTATTGCTCTTTTGTATGATTGAAGAAAGAATGAAAAGGCATGCCAACTACATGATTGATTTTCATGTATGATCTGCAAAACTTCACCTGTTAGATTGAGTTATCAAAGATCACCATTGCACATTACCCTTTGAAACAGTTACACAACTTTGTGGAAGAAAATTCAGATAACCAAAACCAAGAGTTCCTAAGCATGCAAATAAAAGAACATTTTCTTTTTTTTCCTTGTCATCCTATACATGCCACACGCAATATGGTTGAGTACCAATCAAAAACATGATCTTACTTTCCTTCTCTCAATTTTTTTTCCGTACTTTGAGGTGATAACTAAAGGCTTTAGTTGGAGTCAAAGAATTGATACAAGTCAAAAAAAAGATTCAGATCATATATAAGATATCCAATCTTTGACCTTCCATACCAAAAGGGAGGACTGATTATTTGATTTACCAAAAAACAAGTCATTTTCCCTGTTAGTCTTATTATTGTTGGTAAGCATTCCTTTATCCTTGTGGATGATCACTTAAAACATGAACCTTACACATACCATCTTCCCACTTACGGGAACCTGACAAAAAAAGTTTTCAGGGAAAAGAAACATAAGTAAATTCACAAAACTGCTTCTAACGGAATCGAAGGTCAAATTGCATGATGATGAAAGATCCAAATTCAAGTGGCCCTCTGGATCGTCCCACCTCGTAGTCGTAGCTGCGCAATTGAACATAACACCAAAGGTTTTCAACTAAATAAGCTAGACTTGGTACACAGATTATATGTGAAGAACTAAGGGAACACGCAGCTATGCAAATATGTTCATGAGTACCAAAGTTAGTCCAAGTAATTCATGCAAAATCATTGGCTTGGAAGACCACAGGCAGGCAGGCAGTCAGCGTATAAGATTTAAAATACTTGGAACTAGTGGGGGGCCTCAGCCTATACTTGCAACAACAAACACACAAACTAACAGATAAACGCAAGGCAGATTGAAAGCAGTTGTCAACCATGGAAGAGAAGGAAGGACTGCTGGGAGAAAGATCAGTGATGCATACCGAACAGGGAACTTCCATTTGAGGGTCGAGCATCACATCAACGCCTGTGCTCTTGTAATACTTCTGTATCTGCTCTAGATTAGTAAAAGGTACGCCACAAGCAATATCTCTAATACCTTGAAGGATGATTGGGTCCTTTCCACCATGTTTATTGAGAAATGATTTGTATGTCGGAGGTAAACTATCCTGCTTTAATATGTAGGCACACCTGGGAAAGCCACATTGTTGCACTTGTAAACTATTAGAGAAGATAGAGAATGAAAATATCTGAAAGAATAGTTGTAAGAACATATTTTGGATATAATCTTTAAAAATGCTCAAGTTACAGAGTTCTGCAGACTGCAAGGGCACATTTCATGAGGAGAACTTTTAGGCAGTGAGTGGATCACCATTCTATGTTTTGATCAAGCATTCAGATCTGGTAGTGGGCTCGTGTTCTTGGCTGGTTGAACTCAGATCTGGTCGTGAGTTCCAGATCTGGTCAAAGGCAACTAGGGTAGAGGGTTGCTGCTGTTTGGATTCCAGATCTGATCGTTCCTTTGCTGCTCTTTTGGGTTGACAAAGCACGGCTTCTAGGGGTACATTGCATGATCAAGTCTTTTTGCATGTTCGTTGCTGTTTCGCTGCATGATCTAGGGTTCTTGCTTCTAGGGTTTTGTGCAGCAAGGGAGCTCCGTTTCTGATCCCCAAAAAGGGAAGAGCTCGTGCACATCGAATTTCAGGTTCTCTATTGCACTCCCTAAATAGCCAAGCAAGGAGCCAAGGATAGTGGGGAATGAGAACAAGGAAATTTTGATTCAAATAGAAATAATAGGGTAAATGTTTTACCTCAGACCTGGTTGCCTTTTTTTAGGGGTGTGGTTCTTCTCCTTTGCTGCTTTTTTTTTGGTTAATTGCTGCTGCTGTGGTCGATCTCAACAGTCTTGCTGCTGTTTGTTTGGTAGACAGCAAGTAGCAGCTGTTATCGTTTCTGGGAACCCCAAGGAACTTCAGCGCTTCGGTTCAACTGAGGCCTTCATTGTTCTCTTAGGATTTGTACGAGATTGATAGCTTTTTCTGGGATACTTGGTGTTTCGGTTATCTTTATGGCTGTGGATCGAGGAAATATTCTTGTGGAGGAGGTCATTGAAGTGGAGACTGATGAGGAGGAGGTTTTCATGGACTCTACGTTGCATGGGGTTGTGGGTGGTACCAGCCCTATTTTGCGAGGGGTCATGGATGTTGACAAGGACACCACCCTAAACCCTATTTCGAATGGGATTGGAGTGGTTTCGGCTGAAAAATTATCAATGGAACGGGAACGAGAGTCTCGGTTTTTGATCGGATCTTGGACCCACTGAACGGATCGGAAGCCAAGTTGAAAAAAGGTACGACAACATCATATGCAGCAATTCTTAAAGCCAATTCAAGTGATGTTGGTAATTCATTAACTTTTTTCCCTTTAGCAGAAAAAGGTTCCACGAGGATTGACTTGCCTTTAGAGTTGACTGAAAAGGCGGCAAATCTATACAAGAACACTCTATATGGGTATTTCCTGGGACCACGATTGTATTTCCCCACAGTCCAAAAAATTATCATAAGTCTTTGGGGTAAGTACGGTCTCAGGATTTGATGATGAATGAGACGGGGTTTCTATTTTTCCGTTTTGGAGATAGTGAGGGTCTCCGGCATGTTTTGAAAGGAGGGCCTGGTTGATTCAAGGAGCCCCTCTTTTTGTTTTCCCATGGGATCCCCATCAAGGGCTGGTTAAACCGGAGCAAAAATCGTGTCCGTTATGGGTTAAGTTGCATAACATTCCTCTCGTGGCCTTTAACAGGGAAGGAGTAGCTCGCATAGCTAGTGCCTTGGGAGTCCCAAAAATGATGGATGACTTCACATCAGCCATGTGTGATAAATCCTGAGGAAGGCCGGGTTTTGCTAAATTTCTTATTGATGTTTGGGCAGTTGGAGAACTTAAGAGAGAACTTTAAGTCGCTATTCCGAATTGTCCATGGTGGAAAAGAGATGATTGTTCCAATTCGAAACGAATATGTATGGGAACCGGCCCAATGTTCCCATTGCCATGTTTTTGGTCATAAGGGTTCCACGTGTGGCTATGACAACGAAAGTTGACAAGGGGAAATCGGTGATGGTGACGGATGCGGATGGCTTTACGGTAGTCACGAGTAAGAAAAACCATCCCAATCGGAAAGCGATAGGTGCTTAGACTAGTGATAAAGGAAGAGGAATGTCTAAAACGTCTATGGTCTATAAACCGATTTTAAAGAATACGGGGGGAAGTACAAGCGGGGGAGTATCGGATGTTCCAATTGATCCTCCTCCGGCTGTTGTCTCCAATATTTGGGGAGGTGAATTGCGAGGACTTGGGTACGAATGGGGATCATGCTATGTAACCCAAAGGAAAAAAGGATGATGGTTTGCATGGAAATGGAGAAAGGAGAGCCAAATTTAGTCCAAAAAGGAGCGCACACCCGCAGCCCCCAAAGGACCTATTCTATCCTCGGTTTTCAAAGGCAAGGGGAGGCACCTCTCTTATGGAAAACAATCGGTTCTCTCCCTTGCAGGATGACGAAGATGCGACGACCAATTTGGGTGTAGAGGACGACTCGAATGATGCTGAGCCGAACCATTTGGAAAATAGTACAGATCCTTCAGTGCCATGAGTGGAAGGTACTGCCACACATCAGTCATCATGTTAAATGTCGGTGCTTGGAATATTCGGGGTCTAACCTCCCCGATAAAGCAGCGTGAGGTGACGTCTTTTATTCATGCGTGTTCCCTTTCTTTATGTGCTATTATTGAATCACATGTTACTTCTAATCTTGATACGATTGGGAGCAACGTTTTCAGGAGGTGGTCTTGGGTTTCAGACCATGCTAATTGCCTTCATGGCACTCAGATTATTGTGGGTTGGAATTTATCGGTTGTTGATGTTAGAGTTGTTGAAATGACGGATTAATATCTTCATTGTAAAGTGTGTATTCGGAATTCTCGTTTATATTTTTTCATTTCAATCATTTATGGTGATAATAACATGGCTCGTCGTCGTTCTCTTTGGGAAGGGCTTCTTCACCTCAAACCTATGGTTGACAAAGAGCCTTGGCTTCTCATGGGTGATTTCAATACCATTTTGCATCCGAATGGAAGTGATAGGGGATCCTCAAGAAGAGATATGGGATCGGCGGAATTCTTGGAGTGTATTAATGAGCTAGATATCTTTGATGTTCGGTTTACAGGTATCTTTCACACTTGGGTCCAAAAGCTGATGGGGGGAGATGGAATTGTCCGAAAATTTGATCGGGTCATGATGACTAGCTTGTTTGGCAATGTCTTTGATAAGGTCTCGGCTAAGTTCCTTCCGAGGGGTGTCACAGACCATAGCCCGATGGTGGCATCCTTTGATTGTGGTAAGATGAAAGGAAACAGACCTTTTAAATTTGATAACTTTATTACTCACCATGTGGATTTTTTACAGATTGTTCAATCCATACGAAATACTCCTGTTGAGGGTTCTTATGCTTTCAAAGTTACCTCACGATTAAAAGCTTTGAGAAAACCTCTTAGATCGCTTCGATCCAAGCATGGTAGTCTTTCAAAGCGTGTGAAAGATCTTCGTTTTGAAGTTGATGAAATTCGAAAGGTAATAGACACCGACCTTTCTAATCAATCCTTGTTTGCAAGAGGACTTGGCTCATGTCCTATCGGCGTTTCAAGAAGCTTTAGATGTGGAAGAAGAAAATTTCCGTCAACAAGCAAAAATATGATGGCTAAAAGGTGATTCAAACACGGCTTTTTTCCATCGGGTGGTTAAGGAGAAAAAAAACCATAACAGAATTGAGGCGGTAATGGACTCTAATGGCCAAGTTGTTACTGGTTCAGGGATTGAGGAGGTCTTTGTTGATCATTTTCGCAGAATTCCTGGAAAGGTTGATAGTAATGTCTATCCTTTTCTTCCTTCAGATTTCTTCCATAAGAAACTTTCCATTGAAGATACCAATTTTAGGATACGTCCAATTACAAAGGATGAAGTAAAGAAGGCAATGTTTGATATCGGAAACGATCGTGCTCCGGGATCTGATGGGTTTTCTTCTAAATTCTTTAAAGCGTCTTGGGGAATTGTCGGGCACGATATCGAGATGGCTGTCCAAGATTTCTTTTATAGAGGTCGTTTGGCCCGGGAGCTTAATCACACTTCTATTTGTTTGATCCCGAAAATGACTAATGTTTTTTGTGTTTTGGAGTATAGGCCTATTTCTTTATGCACAGTCATTTATAAATGTATCAGTAAAATTCTCTCTTGGCGGATTAAAGACTTTCTTGACTCTTTGGTTAGCTCGAATCAATCGGCTTTCATCCCGAGAAGAATAATCACGGATAATATCACGATGGCGCATGAACTGGTTGTAGGTTATGAAAGAGAAAATGGTACTCCGGCTCTTTTAAAATTGATATCCAAAAGGCTTACGATTCGGTGGATTGGCGTTTTTTGGCCTCTGTTCTTGATGGTATGGGGTTTCATCCGATCATGTGAAGAATTCCATATTCCTTCTTGTTCATCAATCAGAAATCAAGACAAACTGGGCACTATGGTGAGACGTGAAAACACCCGATCCCATTCCGACCTCGATATGTGGAATCGTCTTGCGCCATATGTACTGAGATTGTTCGGGAGACATGGTCCAAGCCCGGGATGGAAATTCCCTTCAAGGTGCTTGCTTCCATCGGTGGCGGGCGGGCGGGCGAAGGGTCCAAAGGACACGTAGCCGGGGGCGAGTCAGAAAATCCAAGAATTCCATTTTCCTTCTTGAGCGGATCCAATACCAAGACTAGGAAAGAAATGCAAAAAGTACTTTAGGAATTTGGGGATTTCATGTCCCACAAGTGAGTTGCCAAGTGCCCCTAGGAGGCCAGTCTACTACAAGATCAAGTTGGAGCCTGGAGCCAAAGGCCCTTAATCGTCTCGCTTTCGCTATTTATTGCAAAAAAATAAAAGACAAGGGGGGCATAAAGGGCTTACCCTTGAACATCAAAACAAGCTAGGGAGCTCTAAAAAAGAACATGCCTTGGCTATGAACAGGCTTTTTAGAATCAAAAGGAAGAGACCCTAAGCTATTAAATAAAATGGAGTCTGAATGAGTATGACCATAAGCAGCCAAACAATCTACAGCTTACTTCAGTTTTAATTGTTTATTTGAGAGTAGAACCAACTCTGCGCATTTATCGCAGATTTCATGAAATAATAGGTCTAATTCAGGCAGAGCGCTTTCCGTGTCCGAAACAGTTAAAGAAAGGGTCGAAGAGGCTTTGGATGCAGAAAACGAAAAAAGAGCACTATCCATAAAACAATCACTAGGCGTTGGATTACCATAAACCACTATTTGTTGATTTTCCTTTTTCTTTGTCAAGAAAAACAAATGATTCCCCCCAGACAGAAAGAGACTCCTTCCTATACGAGTAGTGAAGAATTATAGAGAGTTGTGGTTGGTTACCCCTACGGGTTGATGGTTGTTGCTCACCATTATTCGGTGCGTGATTTTCGTCTGCTTTGTAGGCTGGGTGGAGCTGGATATCGTGTTCTTGCAAGGCTAGACCTCAACCGTTGGCTCCTCGTTCCTCACCCTCAGCTAGGAGTTGCCTGCCTCACCGATCAAATAGATGGGAAAACGATCTTCAAGTCAGGGTTTCCCCTGTTTTTAGTCTATCCAGGTGCTTGCTGGCGAGTGTTCCCCCTAGCTCTCCCTTAACAACTTAAAGCCTTACCCTCCGCTAGTTGACTTCTGCGCCCTAAGGGGCAGACAGCTTGCTAGTTAGTATGACTTCCTGTAGGGAGATGGCTAGTTAACTTCCTCTCCTGCCTTCTGATTAAAGCGAGCTTTTTCCTTCCTCACCTGTTGAGACAGATAGTTGACTTACACACCCTATGCTGGATCTCCAAAGCAGACCGGTTCCTGCTTTCCAAGCGAGAGATGCTTTATTGAAAGCTCTCGCCCAATGGGAGAGGGACCAGACGCGTGATCCATGAGGTTGGCCGSCCAGCGTCGGCTCTACGAACTAACAAGGGGTCACTGGATAATGGAGGTTGTCACTACTACTTCTTACTCGATGATCATTAATATAGAGACGCATGGGTTCTTTCAAGGGGCGAGAGGTATTCGGCTAGGATGCCCTCTTTCTACATCTCTTTTTACCTTAGTAATGGAAGCCTTTACTTATGTTCTCCGGGAACGTATTGAATCGAAGGTGGATTTTCATTACCACAAGGGTTGCACGCGAATCTTGTTAACTCACTTATGTTTTGCGGATGATCTTATGGTTTTCACAAGGGGTGATGCCTCCTCGGTTACTGTTCTTAAACATGCGTTAGACAATTTTGCTAAAGTGTCCTATTTAATTCCTAGTATGGTGAAGAGTTATGTATATTTTTCGAATGTGGATGAGGAAGTCATGAATGAAATCTCTTCCATATCGCCTTTTCAAAGAGGCATGTTACCTTTCCGGTATCTCGGTGTTCCGCTGTCCTCCAAACGTCTTCGTGTTGCCGATTTTCACCCTTTGCTTATGAAGGTCGTAATCGTATTTTGAATTGGAAATCTAAATTTCTCTCGTTCAGAGGTCGATTGCAATTAATAAAATTTGTTTTGGAGTCGTTACAATTGTACTGGATGGTGGTTTTTACCATTCCTGCTTTGGTGGTGCATGAATTGGAAAGACTTTTTCGGGACTTTCTTTGGGCCCATAGGGATTCGTCTAAAGGGAAAATTGGAGTTGCTTGAGATGAGGTTTGTAAACCTAAAAACATGGGAGGACTAGACATTAAACGGTTAGGTTTATGGAATCGATCTTTACTCACGGCTCATGTTTGGGATATAATTCGGAAACGGAACTCAATTTGGGTTACTTGGATTCATCTATACCGGTTGAGAGATTCTAATTTTTGGACGATTTCGACCACTTCTTCCACGTGGATATGGAGTCGATTATTTGCTCTTTGTGAGCAGATCAGACCTTCTTTATTCATGTAATCGGTAATGGTGTCCTCACAAATGCTTGGGATGACAAATGGTTACACGTTGGCCATTTATCTCAATATTTCCTACCGGTTGATACATGAGCAGGGCTTTACTAACACATCCAAGGTCTCGGATGTTATCTCTTCCATTCACCATTGGGCGACTGAGTGAATTCATAGATGTTCGGGTCTATCTTCGGTAAGCCTTCCATGCTTATCTAATGGTACTAAAGATCAGGTGATGTGGCTAACTAACCAAAACCATCCCATTCGGGTTTTGGTTTCAGAGGTTTGGAAATCTCTTGATGGTCCTCATCAGCAGGTCTCTTGGTTTGATTTTTGCTAGTTTTGTAAACATATCTCGAAGCATGTTTTCTTCTTATTGCTTGCTTTTCATAAAAGCTTACCAACGCAAGATAAAATGCAGGCTTGGGGACATGATATGAATGATTTACAATGCTCTATGTGCAAGCTTTGTATGGATTCTCATGATCACATCTTCTTTGATTGCCAAGTTTCGGCTAGCATTTGGTCAAGCATCAAGAATGAGATGCAGGATTCTCTAATACCTAATATTTGGGAAGACATCCTTGTTGACATCCATCATAGAAGATGGAGACCTGGAGAAACTAGAAAGAAATTACTCTTTGCGGCTATGATATATTTTATTTGGCAGGAAAGAAATGCTTGGTTATTCACGAATAGAAGACGGAGTGTTGAGCCGATTGTGAATGACATAAAGAGTGGTTTGCGACTATCAGGATGTGATGGAATGAGGCCTAGAAATAGGCCCGGGGTTAATCAACTTTCGACTTGACTTATGAAGCGGATTGCTAATTCTCTCTCTCCGGGTGGCGTTTGGGCCATGAATGCCTAGGAGGATCAGGATGTTCTCGGCATTTTGTTTGCGCTTTTAGTTACTATCTCTTTATGTACGTTTTGGCTCTTGGTTTTGTGGTACTCGTATGCTATTTTTTGTTGTTTTTGGTTAGTTGGGTTCTCCATCCCTTTTAGGGCTTGTCCTATTTTGTGGGTGGAGTTCCCTGTTGGGAGGGAGTCCCTCGCCTTTTAGGTGTTTGTTTCTTACTTGTTTGTTTTGCTAGGAGTTCCGCCTCCTTTCCAAAAAAAAAATCAGCTTATGTCTCCTTACAACATTAGAAGTTGAAAACATTATCAATTACCACTGCAATGCATTACAGCATCAGGAATAACATAGCATGGTTGATTAATTGAGGCATATATTTCCTCTTTCTAAATTATCAAATTGCAACATGGATTGTCATCCCTTTGGAGAAAAAATAGTCTAAACACATATAATAGTAGTGATGATGGTAATATAGACAAACATCTATATCATTTCCTGCGGCATGAATGTGTATTTTCTTTTTCAAAATCTATGTAGCTTCAGCTTGCAAGTCTATCTCAAGAAAGATGCTTCGACTACAAACAACCATTTATTACTTTGTTGGAAGCCTAGGACATTGCCAACTGTGGTTGTAAATATTGCTGTATTGCAATATATGATGATAAATCTCATGAATGTTGAATTCTGTCAATTAATGGAAAAACATAGTACTAAATCTGTTGGATAATATGTATATGATAAACGAAGCATACCTCTACCCTGGTTTTAACTTCTCAACCTTACAAGAAGTTGAATGATTTTTTTATTTCTTTCCTACACACGTTTCCATGTGTCTATCCATGTACCAGTTGGTTAACATAAAACAGTTTCCATAAGCAAACAAGGGTTTCTTTTATTAAACTCAATCTTCAGCAACCTACCAACCTCTTATCACATTTCTCCTCGTTATTTATATCATTCTTTTGCGATGAACCACAGTAAACTTCTGATGTTCAATCATTTTAAAGTTTGGTGCTTTTCTTTTCTAAAGTACGATATCTCTCATTCTAAGGCTAGAAAAGAAGAGCCAGTGATAATATATTTAATGAAGAGATACAGAAATCTGTGAGAACTTGAAGAGGAAAAGTTGACATGGGAAGAATACGTACAATATCTGGGTAGAAGAGAGACACATTAGGAATAGATCTCCATGGGCCCAAGTGAGAGGTTTACAAATGCGTCCAAATCGCTTGCTTTTTATTCCACAGCGTGATGCCAAGACAGCTGCACGCATAAAAATATAAACTGCCAAGCTTGTATGCTGTGTGTTGAATCCAGTGAGGAGCATTGAAGGTCCAGCTACTGCCCCTGCTAATAAAGCCCTCCATCTTGCTGTTCTGAAGCATAATTGCACATTGAAAGTCATATATAAGCAAAATGACATGAAACCAACTATTTCAGAAAAATACTGATTATGATGTACTTGAAAAGCTCTATTCAACATTTTTAAGCCCTCCACTTAGAGGATACATGCACACGACTTCTCAACTCAAAGGATCCGAGCCAAATATTGGAATTTGTTGCTTCAACATTTCCAAAAACACAAATGGTAAGCTTAGTGGTACTTTTTTAGATTTGAACTCTTTTTAAGTTTTTATTAGTCACTTTCCACTTTGTGATATAGGCTGTTTGTATTTTAAATGCTACAACACTAAACTTTTCTTCATAGCTATTTGCCGATCGAATAAATCCTCATTCTATAAATTAGTGAAGGAAAAGCAGTTTAGAGATAAAAATGAAAAATATACTTGAGTCTCAAATAAGAAATACAAGAAACAGAGAGAGGGGGGTGCCTTTGGTGTCCTCCCAAAGCAGCTATAAGCTCATCAACTGAAACAAATGTCCCAGCAAAAGTGCCAAGGAAGAGACCATATCTAATTGTTTCTTTCAGTGCCAAAATCAAATCCTGACCACCCGAAGCCATTTGCACCTTCCTGAACCAAAAATATCAGCATGTAAAACTTGTTTAAACAATCAATACCCTTCCTATTTTGGAAAAAAAAAATCAACACACACTTCTGTATAAACTAAAACTTTACCCTTTACAGTAGAGAATGCAATGAGGTCATTTTCTAACAAAACAATCCACAAGGAAAGGTACAAGCAATACCAACAGCCTATAAATTCCCACAAACGATGAAAAAAATGTTTATTCAGCCTAGTACTTTTTGAAGAATCCTCATGAATACTGAAGTTGAGAGGATGTTTGATCTCCAAAGTCAGAGTATAGCGATCCTTTCATAGGCTGAATATAATGAATTTTCTACATGAACAGTGAGTTGCGACACCTAAACCACCAAATTGTAGTACTACATCGATTCAAAAAAATTCAGAACTTATAACTCGTCTCCATGGTGCTAGCAATTAGGCTTTAGAAAGGTACGCCCTTTGATTCGACAAAGATCAAATTCAACTTTTTTGGGGGGTAAACCTAGCACTTTTGAAACTCAAAACTGTACGGATTTTCATAATAAAATTGGCATGAACGTATTCCTGTCTGTAGTAACTGTTATCAACTTCGATGTATTTGTGAGAGTTCCTTGAAAAAACTTGTATCAAAATTCAAGTAAAATTAATCCAATTATACAATTGCTTTTCCTTTTCCAAGGAAGAGTTATACAAAATTAAAAACTGAAGAGACCTAAGAATATGTTCAGGAGTTAAAATCACTTACTTAACAGAGGACAACGATCGACGACGCCGCAATCGAGCAAGGATTGCAAAGAGAGATAGGCCGCCTCTAATACCAGCTCCAATGGCAAATCCTTTCACAGAGGCAGTGAAGATCCTCCACCGCTTATCATAATCTTCGACCGGAAACGAATCGAAGCTTAGCAAAGCGTAGGAAGACGAAGACGATGTCAGACTAGTTTTCTTTGAGTTCCTCCCGCATTGTGAACAGGTTTTCCGTCCATCGCAGGCATCTTCACACAAACAACCGTCGCCGGCAACAGTAGGATTGTTGCCCGACGGCGACATAGTGAAAATTTAGGGGAAGTGTTTCACGTGTGTAGATATGTGTATCTTGGAATTATCGACACACAGATAATCGTTTGTTTGGTTTAAAACGAGTTCTTCTTCTTTACGTGTAAACGACAAAATATGCATGATATGTTTGTTAAATTGGGTGTGAAACCGAAAAAATAATTAAAAGATTGAGAAATATTTTGGTATTGTTTATGTAGATGATGCTACTTGTACAATGTAGCGAGATATATCTCAATTTTAGTGTTTTGTTTTTTTTATTTTAGTTGATGTTATAATACATTTTTATATGGTTTTGAGATATAAATAATGTTTTTATTTTTTGAATAAAATATAAATATGAAAATATCATAAAAAATATTGATATTAGAATCAAACTAACTATTTAAAATTTCTCGTTTTTTGTGTATTTTTTTAATTCATTTTTTTATTTTGGGTTTAATAATATATTTTTTTATAAAGATAATAATTAATTATTTTGTTATAACTCAATGATTATCCAAATTATATCTTAGTTTTTTTATATTTAAAATAAAATGTTTATCCTCTATTTGATTATGTTTATCTGAAGWTAGTYACACAAATTCAAACATGAAGCTTTAATAAGTTGTACTTACGCACAATTTACTTGTAATATTGAATTTTAAGTAATATGTATCAATAAACAGTACTTCATGCATAAAAAATGGTTTTTAAGAGTTTTTGTCAAATGCTTTATAATATAGTGTGTGAATATATATATATATATATATATATAT